AGTAGGATAAATGAATTTTTTCCTTAGAAATATCACTGAATGGAAAAAAGAATTATTTTAATATAAATTGAATAATTAGCTCCATGCTAGATTCCCATGTCACCTAAGCTGAATTCATTTATTGTAAATTATACTGAAGAAAATTCCATACTAATGGATTACATTAATTATAGTGATTATTGGCCATAATTAAGCAGAAAACCCCCCTTATTTCCATATCAGGTTATCCCCAACGGTCGCATTTATTGGCATCCCCGATGTTTGCTCCTTAGAGAGGCAGGGGTGGGTGGTAAAGCCAAATTTGCTTCGAAATTTGAAAAGAAAAAAACTGTAAAAGGCCATCCTTTTAACCATAAATTAGCCACAGAGTAAATCGGAAACATAAAAGCAGGCAGTTTTTTTCCATTCAATAATTTGGCCGTACCGGAGAATCCAAGAACTTGATTAAGAAGAGAGAGGGGAGGGTTGCTTTTCTTGAGGGTGGATGAAGATTTGGTGAAGAAGATAAAAAAAATTCTTCATCAAAACTTCATTTTAATAAATCTCTAGCCACCCCTAGAAGAGTTTTTTTTTGGTTATTATTCAAAATTTCTGTTCTTTTTGCATATTTATATAAGAATTTCAAGAATCTGTGATAAACGTGGGGTATTTGTATTTGTGCTCTTTCTTTTTTTTGGCCTTTTTCCTTGAAATTTCACGTTACAAGCCCGCGAATTTCTTATGTAAAACTGATAATTACTAGTTTACTTTACCATTTGATATTTCCCTGTTTACATCCATTTTATTATGCTAAAGCTTCATTCCTGTTAACTCTTGTTTCTTGGTGGGGGTCCCCCCCCTTTAAGAATTTTGACGAGGCCCACGATAGGGTTAGGTGGGCTTCGTTTTTGCCAATAAAACCCATATTTTTTCTTGAGATTTGGTAAAATCCCTTTTCCTCTTTTTAAAGGGAGCTGAAGAAGAAAGAAAAAGACTTCAGATTTTAGTTTTTTACATGTATTTACTAGACTTGTTGCTTCTCCAATACAGGTGGACTAACTTTACGAATCACCCCCTTTATTAATTATTATTATCATGTATATATGCCTAACTGGAGTACAGCCTCATTTGTCAAATGCTTTTGTTCTTGATCACTTGTTCTTTCTCCTTCATCCTCTTTTACAAGTCTCTTACCCTCAATCCACTCCCATCCTGGGCTTCTGAAATGAGATTGCTCTCTCTCTGGTTCTTGAAAGACTTTTCACTTTTCCCCATAGCCAAATCCATAAGAAACACCCTGTTAGGTATTGTTTTCGCATTGTTTTCTCCAAGAATGTCACCCAAGAAGAACAAGAATTTTTATAGTAAGGTGGAGAATCATGAAATTACATCAGATATGTCTGTGTTAGATTTACCTGACCTTGTATTGGAATGCATTCTTGAGAGGCTTCCAACAGAGGGGCTTTGTAGAATGGCTAGTGTTTGTAGTTCTTTGAGAGAGAGGTGCATAAGCGATCATCTATGGGAAAAACATATGAAAAACAAATGGGGTAGGATTATTAGCCCTGCTGCATATAGGGAATGGCAGTGGCATATTGCTTCAAGAAAAGGTTCAATCTTTTCTAATCAAGGCAAACAGAGGGGGCTAATGGGCTATCTCACTCTCTTATGGCCTACTGCACTGATTAGATCTAGTTTTGGTAATATTAGCAAGAAGAAGGATTTTCCTCCAGTTGGTTCAATCATGTCTTGGTATCTTGCTCTTGAGTCTGGCAACTTTTGGTTCCCTGCACAAGTATATAATCGCGAGGTATTGATTTTTTATATCGACTTGAATTTCCCCCTTTTCATATTCTTTAACTTGAATTTTTTTCCCAAGATGTTAATTTTGGTTGTATTGACGTCTTGATTATGTTCTTCTATGCAGAATGGTCATGTTGGATTTGTGTTATCATGCTATGATGCTGAGCTCAGCTATGATCGACGGACCGACACTTTCCAGGCCAGGTAATTGGAAATATTTTTTCTTCTAACCTCTATTGAAACTTGAAACGCTTTTAGTGGACATGAATTGTGATGTTTTTACTTTTTATTCTGTTCATAAGTTCTATTTGCAGTTAAGTTTCTAGTTCCAGAAAATAATCTCATTTGAATCTTGACCAAACAGCGGTTCTTGATTATTGTTTTGTCAGTGATCTATATCTCAAATGTTATGATTTCATACAATACTTTCGGGGTTAAGAAACGTTTTCCTTTTTTTGTATTCTTAAAGTTCGTATGGTTTTATATGAGCAGATATCCACCACATGGAAGAAGAGCAAGTACAATAGAGACTGGTGTGACATGGGATAGACTCAGAGCTCCCCCTGTTGATACCTCTCCCCATGATCTTCATATTTCTGATTGCTTGAACGAGTTGCGACCTGGTGATCATATCGAAATCCAATGGAGAAGAAACAAAGAATTTCCATATGGTATTATTCTTCATACCATACACCTCAAAGGCATATTCTTTTTAGTTTTAATATCTTTTTTCTCAACATATGATCCCCTTTTTGGGTACATGGTGCAAAGCTAGGATATAATTCAAAAAATTTCGATCTCTTTTTCTTAATGTGATTCGGTTGGCAGTTGCTTTAAAATTTAGGTTGTTGTGCTACGACTGAGTCTTGCTAAGAAACTTCATAAAATAAAGACTTGGTGTCAAAAAAGATGACTTGCCATAGTATCTTTGTTTTATTGATTGGTGATCAAGAAACTTTTGTCACATGATAACGTGTAATTCCACAAGTAGGCCTTAATTGACTTGTTTCAAGGAACCGGTTGTATCATATTTTTTTGTATCAAACTAAAAAATATTATTTATAGTGCTTTGAGCATGCAGCCCACATTTCAATTATAATGTTTTCTCGAAATGGAAGGTGGTCTGTCTTTCTTGTTAGGTTGAAAGTTTCGTCAACCAATGTAAAGGAAAGCTATATTTATATTAAACGTTACTCAATTGGATTGGCTCTTTTGAGATATATAAAAATCCTTGTGCATTGTATCAGTCAATTGATTAATAATGTCTGCCATATCTGTGTAGGATGGTGGTATGGTGTTGTAGGCCACTTGGAAACATGTGATGGGAATGCCAATTACTGCCGCTGCCATGATAGTGGTGAGTTGTTGCAAAATTATTTGATGGAATGCTATGAAAATTTGCCATTTCATACTGTAAATACATCAAGTTCAAAGTCGGAGACATAATCAAAACTCGAGATATACATAAAACTGAGAAAATGTGGGGAGTGGAATGGAGTGGGTGGGGGGATGACGTGGGGGTCTTATTATTTTGGGGGACCTCGAGTTTGATTCTTTTCAGGTGGTCATAAGTTTTATCATCATATTACCATACTTCTATTCTTGGTAGGACCTTTCTTGGCTCCCATTTTCTTACACGTGGGTCGTCCCTTGTACTATAAAATTGGTCCCTGAGACAAATCCTCGTCCGTTTGTCATATTCTCTTCCAACATTGCCATAAGTGCTGTCTCAGTGGAACATTTATGGCCAACCAAGCTGAAAGGAACTTGCTTTATCTTTCCTTGTGTTTGGTTGTGGAGATGAAGCGTTTCCTTTTTACTGTGGATAATGTTTCTTTGAATCTTCTTTCTTTCTTTCTTTATTATTTATTTAAGGGTTTAATCTACAAAGAAAAGTGAAGATTTTCATAAGATGAGATGAATTCACGATACCGCATCACAATTTACTTTTCCAAGTCAATTCTATGTTTTAAAGAAAACCCCTGATTAATTAATGAAGCTTACTCCTTACGCACGAAACTTGCTGTCTATCTGTACCTGGTTAGAACTTAGAATTAGATATATACCTTTTCTCCTACATATCAAACGTTCTCTCTAAGTTACTATGCAAAGCATGTCGAAGCTAAAATGGCTAAAGAGGCATGGCTTGTGCTCTACTGTCTCGGTAGTCAATGTGCACATAGGTTAGGTGGCAGGTGAGATCTGCTACCAATCGACACTATACATAATATTTCAAGTCTGATCTAGTTTTATATTTACTATACTTGGTTGAGCTGTTTAAGGCGCATTGATTTCATATCCGAACTTGTGCTGCAGACACTCTGGTGCTAGAGTTCAACCAGTATACTCGTGGTTCGCGCTGGAGAACAATGTCTATTAACAGGAAAGACCATCGAGAAGAAGGAAATGAGGCAGATGGATTTTATGGGGGAATACGAAGACTTAAGAGCAACGAAGAGATTTCCGTGTGGAAGAAACTCTGGCCAGCTGAAGTCTTGGAATAAATCACAAACTTTTGGCGAAAATTTATACCGAAATCTGGAAATCTCGACATTTTAGTTTGCACAGCATTTTATAAGTGCAAGAGGGCTTTGCTTATAGGCGCAACGAGTTACTTTTTGCCCTCGCGTTATCACGTATTCAAAAATTATTGCTCGTGATTCGCGAAGCCATTATTAGGTTGATAGCAACTGTGTAAATTGTTTCTGTTGAAATTTAAATAGAATATAACCAAACTACCATGACTTGTATATTTTGTTCAGTAATTTATTAAACTTTATGCTGGCAGAACTGAATTGGGAATACAGCCATTGTTTTCTCTCTTTTATTTGGGGATGGAGCGTTTTGTTGCAGTGATTTGAGAACTTGTCTGCATTAATTATTTTCTGGACTCGTTAAAAAGCAAAATGAGGATTTACTATATGATTTAAGTCCAAAAATCTGATGAAAAACTTGGTTTTTCATTTGAACACGTTTAATCTTCAATTCCTAACTTCTCAAAACTTACTAATTTGGCGTAATAAATAATGTCGTTTAGTAATACGTTGACGCTTAGTGTTGTCATCTACGACTTAATGCTCATTTTTTTGACCCAGTGACCATTAGGTAATAATTAGAAATTTGAGTGATCATTATCGTAAGAAAATTGACGTAATTACTCAAAACTTTAGGGACAATTAGTGTAAAGCTTGAGCAGAGGAGGTCTGCGTATTACACCAACTAATATGGTAGAATAATAATCTTGAAATTGAGACCAAAAACTGTCTTACATCACAATGCAGGATGTTCAAAAGTAAATTTTTAGTGTACAAAAGTGAAAACCATGATCAATGTTTGTTGAAAACATTTTTATACTCAATTTCCATAACCCAAACTAAGGATTAATGATGACTGGCTTCAGTTCATGTTAGTACTTTCAGTTCCATATCCCAAACAAAGTGCAAGTGTTGGTTTCATTGACGTCTTGTATTCTGCTATTGCAATCTTTGCATCATCAGAAATTGTTTCCTTCTCGACACAACGAGGCCGACTACCATTTCCCTCGACTCTAAAGCTCGACAGCCTGAATTTCCTCGGTGTCAATGGTTCTGAAGTCTGGTTTATTTGCTTGGGTTTACTTTTTTCTCTCCCAAATGATGCAAACCTCAGCAAAAGTCCTTTCATTTTTTGTACCTTATCTTTCACAACATTTTCTCCATGCACACCTGTAGTTGAAATGGGCTTGTAGGACCATTCGCGTTCCGCTTGAACGGGTCTTACTCTTCCCCCGAAAAACAAAGCCATCGGGCTCTTGAGCCCTTTTGGGCTTCGTCCCACTTCTTTGGTCTGAGTTTGAACCCATCTAGCATAAGCCGAGCCCTTGGACTCCTTTGGCATATAATAGCTCGGTGTTGAAACTTGCATTGATGAGTTCATTGGACTACCTTCTTTATCTTGATCCCTTGGACTCGAGCATTTTGAATTAGAAGTCATCAATGGTGAACGCGACCTTGATCGCCTATGATCATTTCCTTTCTTTTCCTCCCTTACCTTCTTCAAAGCCACCGTGAACGGATCAAAATCATAATCCCATGCATGTTGTCTTGCGAACGGGATTCTGAACATTGTTCTTGGCGACCTAGGCGTTGAAGCAAACGATCTTTGGCTAAGACTATGCGCATCACTATCATATTGCAGCCGAGGTGGGAGTTTTAGTGGCATGACAAGGCCATTCAAGAAAAGTTCTTCAGCAAATGCCATACAAGGAAGAGAATCACCGCGCTCGTGATATCCTTCCTTAATCTGATCATCTTGATTATATCCCAAGCCCTCAAAATTCTTGCTCGATTCGAACTCAAAACATCCACTGAACTTCTTGCTAGTTTCAAACTCGAAATCATCAAAATCGGAGTTTTGATCATCGTTTTTCTTGGAGGGAATCCATATTTTTCGCCTCGGACTAGCCGGGGCGCTATAGTAGAACTCCGTGCTGCTGCTTCCATTTGGGCTAGTTGGAGCAGTCACATAGACATGTGGAGAAACATTTAAGGTTTCAGATTCTAACTCCATTTGGTATCGAAACTCAAGAGGAGAGACAATTAAACAGTAGCAGATATTAAGGATTGCTTTGTTTATTGTAAAATCTCTTTTGAGTCCTGAATTTAAGGATTGCCCAACTCACATGTATGACCTTTACTTCTAAAATAATCTTCAAAAGTAGAAAATACCTTTTCTTGTCCTCAACCACTCAAATATAAAAAACATTCTAAACTAAACTTTGTTTTCATTAGTGAAGTCAAGAGAATTTTCAATTGACTATTGCTAAATGTGAACCTAATCATGGTTAGGATAGAAATAGGGATTTTAGTTCAATTTTGACATCTTTTACACCTATTTTGGAATGTTGTTATCACGGAATTTTATACTTATTATACTTTTTTGATACTTCGACTCTCTTATATGTTACTCAAGATGACGAGTTGTGCAGAGTATCTTCAAAGTCGAACCAACTCAAGTCAATCTAAGCATCAATTTGCTACCACCACATGTTAATTTTAGCATGATAACTTTCGACACCCAATGCTATAAAAATCTTTTATGACTTTCACTTTTCAGATCATATGCCCATTTTAAGCAAGATTACTTCCTTTTTTTTTTTTTACTTGCTTATTTTGTAAACAAAAACAAACTTAAGTATGATAACAAAATCGGAGCACGTTTGGGAATTGTTGAAAAAGACTTCGTTTATAGATAAATAGAAATAAGTAATGGATAAATGTGTAATACTTAATAATTTTACGAAATTTGTATATAAAAAGTGATTTGAATATTTATATACACGAACAATGGCGGAGGGAGGTGGGTTCAATGACCAGTGGGTCTTTGACTCCCATTGAAATTCATCAAAAAAATTTATATAATTTTTTATTTTTATTTTTTGCTTTTTATTTTTAATATTATTATATTTTGTGTTTGAAAATTCACTTCCACTTAATTGAATATTGACTCCACTACTGAACATGAGGTAAACGTAAGTCACATGAAATTTTTACTTAAAAAAATATTAAATTATCGAAATGTCAAGTTCCAATTGGACCGTGAGAGTAAAGCGCCGTCGGATCTCAAATCCGTGATCTTCTTCAACTCTGTGATCACGGAGTCTGATTATGTATGATATTAACAAACTTAAAATGAATTAAAATCATTTCTCAGATTATAATTTAGTTATGATCGGATCTTCTGGTTTCGGTAGACCCGAATCTTTCCGGAGCCGTGCCCATTCTACATGAGGTAACGGTGGTATATGGTTGGTTGACCCGACCATTTTTTCACGAGCGCCTTTGACCAGATTTAAGTAAAAATGAAAAAGTGAAAATTTTAAAGAAATCACAATATCCATTTCAATCATGTTACATATACATCATTCTTTACATCTTTGTTTACACTCTTACACATGGCACAATCACGTCTTTTGATTTCTCCAACATCTTTTCACATTACTATCCAGATTGTATCACATCTAGGAGAATATCATCTATGGTGTAAAGCAAGATGCAATATAGCTTAATTCTACCAATTTTACCTCCATTTTGAACGTTGAGAATTTGAATAATGTTATAAATTTGAAAATCTATCATACCATTTCATGGAGTAAAATGTTTGAATGGTCACGACTTACTCATTGAATTTCAAATTGTCTCTTAATTGTCTCTTAATGGTCACTGAATTTCATGACTTAGTGCAACGGCAGAAAATTCAGTGACCATTAAGAGACAATTTGAAATTTAGTGAGTAAGTCGTGACCATGTTAAAATTCAGTGACCATTCAAACATTTTACTCCATTTCATGTTAATGTTTCTTCATCTTCTCAATCTCCATTCTTCGAGATATTTTTATCCATCTCCATCTCCATCTCCATATTCAAGGTTTCTTCATTTTATTTGGTTAAATTCGAAATTTGTTTCTTATAATATTGATTAATAATGTGTTTTTAGCTTTAATATTCAAAGATTTAAATAAAAAATTCTTTTATTGTGTTGAAGAAATTCAAATTTGTGAAGAAATCACAGTAGATCTTTTATTTGTTACAATCGAGGTGGTTCGGGTGGCCTCAACGGAAGGGGTGGAGAAATCCTACTATTTAATTTTGAAATGAAAAGTTAGGCCTATGTCTTGGATATAGCGTTTGACTTGGCCATTTCAAGAACACGACCGATTCTACAAGCAAACAATTATCTTCAGGTACACTGCATGCTTTGCTAAATTATTATTAATTAGAAATTTAATGCACATTAGTGCAATATTCCCACTTTTTCTAAAATTCGAAATTTATTCGTTGCATTGATGATGACCAGGAGGTTGCTCCATATACACTTCCTCATGAAGATCACCGTGAAGAAAAGCATTCTTGATATCAA